TGCTGTTTGCTGTGTGCTCTTTACTGCTCTTTGCTGTGTTTGCTACTGTTTGCAACTGTTAATGTGTATGACTACGACGACTGGTAAGAAGACTTTGTTATTGGATTATCCCTGGACTATTGTTTGATATCTACTGCTTTATACGTGTATGACCTGGACTGTTTATTGGACTGTCCCTTATTACTATTTCCTGAAAGTAAACACAACTCAGTGTATCTGTGCGATGGCTGTGTTATTTCATAACTACTCTCAATCACTTTTCATGTGCACACCCTTGCTACTCAAGGGTTGTTCTGCGAATTCCTTAACAGGAGCTGTAATTCAGTATTATCTGGAAGCCTACAAACATTTGCTCTAATTTAGTGAATCTTAACCACCATATAAACAGGCTAAGAAGGCCACAAGAAGCAGCTTTGTTGATACATAAGCTAGTTCCATAATAGCTTCAAACAAACTCAAAAACAAGTTATTATTACAATGTAAACTCAGCAAAACAAGGTAATTTTGAAAGACAGGTGGCTCTGGAAGGAAGCAAATTAAAAGTGAGGCCATATGCTCTTTGTCTATACTCTGTTGATGAAATATAATATTTTTGTAAAGGATATAAACTGAAATCTGTGATGGGCATGTATATTATTCTAGAATGTGTTTATATTGTTCCCCCAAGAAGCTTGATTTATAACTCCTAATGAAAAGAAAAATATTACTGTACTTCTGGGCAGACAAACAAAGGAGCACAACTCTGCTGTTGTTTTTGAATCCTATTTACGTGATGTTATTTTAAAAGTTCAAATGGTTTCACTCTTAATCTTATAACTGCAGATATTCTGTCAGCTTTTGTCCCTAGGTCCTCAGTACTGTGAAAAGATGGTTTAATTTATCACAAAAATGGCAACGTTTGGATTTTTTTTTTAATCTATTGATTTTTAAATTGTTTTTCCCAATAAAATAATCACAACTCTGTTTCTCATGGACAAAAGGTTCTTAGAAGAAGATATCTGGAGCTTTTCTTCAGCTATTTTTTTCCTTAAGGAAAGAAGCTAGAGCTATCGTTGAAAATTAAAGTTTTAAAAGATGTTCCAGCATTTTTGTGATTGCAACAGTGTCTTCATGTTATGGAAACAGACAGTAATCTTTCACAACTTCACAATTAAAATTATCATGTAACCTTTAAGAACAGGTTGCTGTTCTTAAAGGCACACTAAGAGCAATTACTTGAAAAATTAGCAATTCTCAGTGAGACTCATTTAATACAATCATCCATTAAATAGTAGGTTTCTTATTTTTATATGTTTACATTTATGAGCTTCATTTTGGCCCCCGAGAGGAACTATGGTGATTTACAGTATAAAATGTATAGTACTATCAAAATACATGTACTTAGAAAACAAATCTTAAAAAATAGAGAGTGAAATGAATTATATATAAAGTAATCCAAAAGGGATGTGAAATGAGAAAAATTTAATGACTATCCAAAGCTAGGATTATTAGATAACTGAAAAGTAAAGGAGGCCAAGTTTGGGGAGGGGAGGCACTGTTTAAGTTTCTTGGCATCAGCAACAAAAATTACACTGAAAAAAATTGCAAAAAAAGGGTCAGATATATCTATATGAAATAATTTTTTTACCGTTTCATAAAGACTAGCTTTTCAATTGCATGAATGTGCTAGAGCTGGTTAGACAGCAAAAGCCTTCAGCATGTAATTAGTTAAAAACCTGTCAATTCCAGGTAGCAGTCGAGGGTATTAGAGGTAATCCTTATTTAAACACCTCAATTGGGAAAACCTCTCCCTTGCTAAGTAAAGCAATTGCTAAGTGGGAAATCATGTGACCATGACTTACTTTTCTTTTCCCTACTCTCCTACTCTATGGAATGCTCAACTCAGCAGAGCAGGGATATTTGACTGACAAGAACTAATAAATTCCACACCTTCCAGCTTTTGTTTTCTCCTAGCCATTCACCCACCCTCTGCAACACTCAACCTATGCTGGGATAATTAGCAAGAAGAGAACTAATGTTTGTATTTATATTCATTGGAAAAGAAGGGATTACAAGAGAGTGAGCAGGCACATAACGATGACTACATACCAAATACAATGCCACCAGTTGTGAATGCAGTTGGCAAACCTGAAAGAGGCGGTGGTGAGGCCCCTCCTCAAGAAGCCCCTTCTGGATCCAGCTGTTTTGGCTAACTACCATCCAGTCTCCAACCTTTGCGTTGTGGCGAAGGTTGTTGAGAGTGTGGTGGCACGACAGCTTCCGCAATACCTGGATGAAGCTGTCTATCTAGATCTGCTCCAGTCCGGCTTCAGGCCTCGGCACAGCATGGAAACGGCATTGGTCGCATTGGTGGATGATCTCTGGAGGGCTCGGGATAGGGGTTGTTCCTCTATCCTAGTCCTGTTAGATCTCTCAGCGGCTTTTGGTACCATCGACCATGGTATCATGCTGCGCCGGTTGGAGGGGTTGGGGATGGGGGCACCGTTTTACGGTGGTTCTCCTCCTATCTCTCTGACCGGTCGCAGTTGGTGTTGGCAGGGGGGCAGAGGTCAACGCCGAGGCGCCTTGTTTGTGGGGTGCCGCAGGGGCCGGTCCTCTCACCCCTTCTGTTCAACATTTATGTGAAGCCGCTGGGCAAGATCATCTGTGGTTTTGGGGTGGAGTTTCATCAGTACGCTGATGATACTCAGCTGTACATCTCCCCCCAGGCCATCCCAATGATGCCCTTGAAGTGATGTCCCGGTGCCTAGAGGCCGTGCGGGTCTGGATGGGGAGAAACAGGCTCTGACTCAACCCTTCCAAGACCGAGTGGCTGTGGCTTCCGGCGTCCCGATATAGCCAGCGCTTGCTATTGGGGGCGAGCTACTGGCCCCTACGGAGAGGGTTCGCAATTTGGGCATCCTCCTGGACACACGGCTGTCTTTAGAAGAGCATATGACGGCCGTGGCCAGGGACGCTTTTTATAAGGTTTGCCTGATTCCCCAGTTGCGTCCCTTTCTGGATCGGGACTCCTTACGCACGGTCACTCAGGCACTCGTCACTTCCCACCTGGACTACTGTAATGCTCTCTACATGGGGCTCCCCTTGAGGAGCACCCGGAGGCTCCAACTGGTGCAGAATGTGGCCGCGCGGGGGATTATGGGAGCGATGGGGCGCTCCCATGTGACACCCCTCCTGCGCGAGCTGCATTGGCTTCCAGTGGTCTTCCGCGCTTCAAGGTGCTTACCACCTTTAAAGGGCTCCATGGCTTAGGGCCTGGGTACTTATGGGACCATCTTCTGCCACCTCCCACCGGCCAGTACGCTCCCACAGAGAGGGACTCTTCATGGTGCCATCGGCCAGACAATCTCAGTTGGCGACCACCAGGGGTAGGGCCTTCTCTGTGGCAGCACCTGCCCTCTGGAATGACCTGCCCCCGGAGATACATAGGATACCAGATCTCCGTGCTTTTCGCCGTGCCCTTAAAACTTTTTTATTTCATCAAGCTGGGCTAGCGTAATCCCCCCTTAGATATTTTTAGATATTTTTAACTGTAAATTGATTTTAGTTGGGGTGTTTTAAATTTAGTGGGCCAAAATTTGTTTAATTCTTTAAAAAAAAATAAATTTTGTGTGTGATGTTTTTATTCTTGGCTGTTCACTGCCCTGAGTCCAGCAGGAGAAGGGCGGTATAAAAAATTTAATAAAATAAAATAAAATAAATAAATAAATGAACAGCCTGTGTATTCCCCACTGTGTGATTGTTTACTCTCTTGTAATTCCTTTCTCTCCAAACTATCTACTTTGCAAGGCAGATTGGAGACAAAAACATGTTAGACAAGAGGTCAATGAATACTGACCGTAATAGCAATCATGTGACTGAGAGATCCTACAAAGGTCATAAATGCAGGCATTAGTCAGTGTTATTTTTTTCAGCACCACTCTAAACTTCAAACAATTTCTGAACAAGATAGTTGTTAAGCAAGGAATATAGTTTTGGCTATAATTTATTGTCTAGAAAAGGGGAGATAATTGGAGTCAACTCTTTGGGCTTTTATTGTTTATTCAACAAATTAAATAGTTAAACAGGATATACATGAGCCAATAGTGTGATTCAGCTATTAAAAAGGCAAATACTTTATCAAGAAGCAATAATTGCAACAAAGAATTCAAATCAGAAGTAGTAGTTTTTCCAATCTACTTTGACATGTAGATTGACTTTGACTTCAGACACCTTTGGGAGTATTGTGCCCAATCCTGGATACTATAATTGAAAAGAAACAATGTCAAATTGGACCAAGTTTAGAGGAAGGCTACCAAAGTAAAGGGTACAAAAACCAATGCTTGGTTTGGGATAGGGATGTGAAAGCATTAAAAGATATGGATGTGTCTACACAAAAAATTATTAAGGATAAACAAGTAACACCCAGAAATGGGTGGATTTAGTCCCCATTACTCCAGAAGGCAGGATTTCAATCAGTGAATTCCTAAAACTACAGGAATGGGGTTTGGGCTAAACATCAGAAGGATCTTCTTGATTGTATGAGCTATTAACAGTGGAACAGACTGCCACATGATGAATTTGAACAGAGGCTTGGATGGTCATCTGTCAGAGATTCTCCGATACAACTTCCACCATAGATGCCCTCTTCAAAGATCCTATTGTCCTATTGTCAAAGATTGAGTTTCTGCCTCTGGCCCATTAACCAAGGGGGGGAGGCAGGAAGGTGGGAGTTGCTTTGTCTTTAAAACATGTTTCTCCATTTCTCATCCAGGGAAATATAATATTCTGCCTTTTTAATATTTCCTAAAATATTTCATTCTTCTAGGAAAGGGGTGGGTGCTAACTTCCTACAGTACACACCACCTGCCCGTTCTTCCAGACTGCTAACGATTCAGGTGATCAAACATGTGGAAAAAAACAAATAGACCGTTCCCGTTTCCCCACCTGCAGTCCTCCTGGCCGCAAGGGGGCGCACCTTGACACCCACTATCTAGGGCCGCCTCTGGCCTCACTTCCGGCCGGTTGCACCCACTGGGCTGGAGCTCGGTTTTTCTTTTTCTGTTTCTTCTCCTCTTCTCAGGCCGGGACAAGGTGTCGCGCAGGGCGGGCGAGGGCAGCCGGTCTCGGGCCGGGCCCTGACTGAGGTGGCGGGGAGTGGGCCGCGCGAGCCACATATGAGTGGATGGAGCCGGGCTCTGCGCTGCAGCGGAGGGGGCCGGGGCTCGGCGGCGGCGGCGGCGGCGGGCTGGGCTCGGCCGGGGTCTCTCCGGCGCTATCGGGGCCTCAGGCCCGCCGCAGGAAACAGCCGCCGCGGCCGGCCGACTTCAAGCTGCAGGTGATCATCATCGGCTCGCGTGGCGTCGGCAAGACCAGCCTGATGGAGCGCTTCACGGACGACACTTTCTGCGAGGCCTGCAAGTCCACCGTAGGTACGAGAGGGGCCGGGAAGAGAGAGAGAGAGAGGGAGGCAGAGGGGAGAGAGACGGACGGCGCCAGATCGCGTGGGAGGCGGAGGCGGGGAAACGGGGTGGGGGGGGGATGGAGGGGCAGCCGAGGGCGCCATTCAGGGCTGGGCAAGGGTTGGATTTGCGCTCTTCGAACTTCTTTTTCCTTCTCTTTTCCTGGGGATGCTGCTTCCCAGTTGTGCCTTAAACATCCCTTAAAAACAACGGCTGTCCTGAAATCCTCTCTAACACCCCCCCCACCCTTCCTACCCTTCGCTTCCACACGCGCGAGTGACCCAATCGGAAATGCTTACAGTGACCGTAATTTGCAGGATGTATGTCGGGGAAATTCTACTTTTAGAAATCAATATGTTTTTAAGATGTGTAACTTCCAACTCCCAGGGATTTCCCCAGCTGCAGAATCCTGAGAGTTAAAAGCCTTTAAAGTGGCCACATCGAGAAACACTGACCTGGTGCATTGTTTTCTCACAGGATTGGGGAGGCAGTGTTTCTTGATTGGTGGGGGAAGAAATCAAAAATGAGGCTGCCAAGTCGTCAGTCCTTTTATATACTTTTGGGTGCACTTACATCTGGGATCTTGTGCTCAGCGCTCATCATAAGGAATAATCTTTTGCTTCATAAGGTTTCAACTGTAAGAACCCACAATCCTCGATTAAAATGACTAGAATTATTCTTTCATTAAGAAATGTTACAAATATTGACAGAATTTATTTCTGTAATTAGGTTTGGCTGGTTAGAAGACCAGAGTGCCAGTTTCATAAAGTGGTTAAAGCACCAGATTACAAACTGGGAGACCGTGAGTTCGAGTCCCATTTTAGGCACAAAACCAGCTGCGTGACCTTGGGCCAGTCACTCACACTCAGCCCTAGGGAGAAGGCAATGGCAAGCTATTTCCAAAATCTTGCCAAGAAAACTGCAGCAACTTGTCCAGACAGTTGCCAACTCAAAGTCACCATCAAAAAAAGATTATAAAGTTTAGGTTTTTTTAACCAAGCATCAATAGATCTTCAATAATCACAATACAGTTTCTGTCCACTGCTACTGTAGGCACATTCTGAAGCTCTTTTTGACCATTTGGATATAAATGGCCAGGGTCATTTATATGCAGCTGTGATCTAGCTGCAAATATTACAAAGGTTTTTTTTAAGGCATGTGGCTATAATCTCCCTTGTTTTATTTCTAGATTGTCATGCTTAACTGCAGCATGATAGCTTTCTCTCATTGGAACAAGCCAGAGAGGGAAACTTAAAAGTATAAGATTGTCTCTTCGGCCTGGTATCCAGAAAAAACTGTACAGTAATACATTTGACAACATAGAAACAGATCAGAGAAAGATTTACTTTAAAAATTATCAACCATTTGAAATACTCCTGTATGGTTTATATGTTTTTCCTAAGGAAAAACTTGGGTTGTCGTGTGGCGGTGCTATGCATATTTTTTCGGAAGTAAATTTCACTGTTTGCAATAGGATTTACTCCAAGATGTAGTTAGGACTGCAGCTTTAATATTTTAATACAATTCTTTTGAGTGAAACCTTTATGGATTACTTTTAGTAATTTATAGAATTCCTGCTTCTAATAATACTTCACACACTCCTTTTGTCTCTTGGGAAACCTCTGGGATTGTATACTTAATTTGAACTGGAAAGAATTTGTAGTTTGAGTTAATGAAATGTGTTTGCTACATCTGTGGGTTTCCTAATCAACACATGAAGACTGATGTTGATGAGCAAGTTGCTTTTCGTAAAAATTATACTACAGTAGTGACCCTCTTAAAAGAAATAGTCGCTAATATGTCTTGAAAACCACTGTCCTGAAATACACTTCAGAAACCAGATAGGTAATTCTGGCAGTTTATTGTACCTGTAAATAGATACGTTATTCTTATTGGAATAGAGGATTATTAGAATTATTAAGAAATTAATTACCTTGATCAAATCAGATTTATCTTTCCTAAAATATTTGTGAAATAAACATGTTTATTGTTTGCTTATTTCACAGGCCATTTCATAGTTGTGAAAAAAATGCAGCTGGATTTTGAGAATAGAGAGATTTGGCTTTTAATGTGGCTGATACCTTGTTTTAACTGTCTGCATTCTTTATTTCTATTAATTCATTTACTATAGTAGAATCTTACAACAATCATAATATTTAACTGAAGATCAGTGATGTTTGTATGCTTGTGAGACTTTATATAAAATTCACTATATAAAATTACAGGGAATCTTTCTATATGCTTCTCATTTTACTCATGTTAATGATAGGATGATATACATTTAAATGGATTTATACAAGACTCACTGAAATATACTTTAATACATATGATTTGCATATACTACGTTAGATTCTTAAATGTAATAGTTCACACTTTTTTCTTTTTTATGATTAAAAGACGGGTTTTCTTTTTATTTAATGTTGGATTAATTGCTATAAATCCATGTAACTTAAATCAGAATATAGTTATAGGTATAATAATGTTACTTTGGCTTTGGTCCTATACCTTGAAGCATATCTCGTTGCAATCAGGAGGACTTACTTCTGTGTAAACATGTACCAGGTTGCAATACATGTTACTTTTAATAGTAACTTACCAACACTCATATGTACACTAACTTTAGAAACTGGAAACAAAGATTGCAGAAGTTAATGAATAGCTTTGACTCATAATTTCTTTAAATTTTGTATTTGTTTTTAGTGTTTTAGAAGCTGATATTTCCTACATAATGTACAAAATGCCTCTTAAAATCTGGAACAGAAAAGTCAAATCCATTTCCCATCATATTATCTTATGCTTTACAGTACGAGAATAGTTATTATGCCATACCATCGGCCAAAATGATAAACCATTTCTGAAAACCTCTTCTCACATATTCACACTTTGGTTGGTTACTTGATTTGTTGGTTGATTACTTGTTTACTTAGTTTATGTAGCTTAGTTTACTGCATAATCCTAAACCTCTATATGAATATACAAATCACACGTGTAAATTTTTGGAGAAATTTAAATTATCTCCTTTCTGAGTTGAAGGGCAGTTCAGAAGTTTGTTGTAAATAACATATTTATTTCATCTGCTTCATTTATCTTTTTCAAGAATAGATGCAGCTGACATGTTGAGCAAATATTTTCCTAAACAAATTGCAGGAGTAGTGTCAAACCAGAAACATTTCAAAGCTGCAAACTCCAATTCCTCAAGTAGTTCTACACTATCCTAAGTAGTGGTTTCCTACTTCCCAAACCATTTTGTCCATTACTCATCAGTGACTAGTCTACTATAAGATTGCCACCAAGATTTTAGCATTTGGCACCAGTTAAAAGAAGCGAGAATATATTGGTAACATTTAATGACAGAATTCAGAATGATCTTTCCCAGGAGCTTCCAACAACATGTTAGTAAAGTTCTACTGAGCCCGCCTGGAACCAAGCGGTGGAAGTGGTGGGTGAGCACGCACATGCACATGAAGCTGCATTTGTAAAAGCAGCATTCATGCACACAAAACCATCCCCTCTCCCCGCTGCCTCCACCAGTCCGCCAAGCCAGAAAGGTTGGGAACTGTGCTGTATAACCTATAAAGTAAAATCATCAGAACCCCAGACACCAATGTCCCCAAAATATAAGTTTGAAATCAACTTTAGTATCTTAAATGTAACTTGGCCTAATGCCATTACAAAGCAATAGTGAAAACGAAATGGACAAAACTTCTGGATTTCAACAAACAAGTACTCACTTCTTAAGACAATAGATATAAAGGCTTTACTACTGTACTTATAGGTAGTCATATGTTAAGACTAGTTATTTAATGACTGGTTGAAGTTACAATAGCCTTGGAAACCGCCTTCTGGCTATTTTTAAAACTTTCTTCCCCTGCAGTCACATGATCGCGATCTAGGTGCTTGGACTGGTTGTCCCACAATCATGTGATCACCCTTTGCAATCTTTGCTGGCTTCTGTTCCCCACCAAATGTGTTTCAGTATGTAGAGAGGAGCTAAAACTCCCTTGGCCAAGTGGAGAAACAGAGCTCAGATTCTAAAGATCTCAGTTCCATTCCTGCACCCCGCTGAAGATGGTCCCTTATGTGCATAGTCCACATGAAAAAGATCTGACATTCTCCTGCAGGGTGCAGAAACTGAGCTCAAATTTTGATAAATTCAATTTTGTTTCTGTACCGCGTGAAAGAAGTTCTCTTCCGTATATGAGGACAGCTGACATCCTTCAGCAGGTAGCTCTTTCAGTCAGCCCTAGAGACATGAGGGAGCTGAAATACTAGCAGGATTTTCAACTTCTGAGATGACAGGCAATACAATAAATTGCAGGATGACTCAGGCAGACAGGGGAGGCCTGGTATAGGCCACACGGGCTGATTTTGGCAGAGCAGATTTTCAGCTGAGCAGACAGGTATTCTACATTTTTCCTTAAGGAAGTATATAATTGATTTGGTTTGCTTGAAACAATGGCTTGTCCATATCTGATTAACATTTTTCAAAACCAAGAAATATTTTTCATTTAATCCCCATATAAAAAGCCAACATTTGAGCCAGTGCATATCTCTATAAAGCTTTTTGTTCCAAGTTCAGAATCAAATCTACATTGTACAGACAAACATAGTGAAATATAAGAATATATTATACTGGAATCAAATATCCCATTGCCCTAAATTAGTTGGCAAGCAGTAAAATGAGCTCTTTATTTAAGTATGTTGTAAATTTTGGTTTTAAGACTGAACAACCATTTATTCTGGATTGGACCATTTGTGACAGTTAACAAAATTTATAGTATAATAAAAAAATGCTGGTTTTGAAATAAGAATCGAGATCAGTGTCGAGTTATAAACATCTGAAGTAGTATAAGAAGAAGCAAAACAGGGATGATTTTATTTTATGATTAACTTCACTGTTGGTTTTGGATAATAAACAATTTTAGATTATTATTTTCAAAGATTATATGACTTGCAGATTTATCTGCTAAGTTGTAGGAAAATTGCTGTGAGAATTTCACACCAATGTTATTTATGATTTTATCCTAGCATTTTTCAGAATACACTGAACTCTATAGTAATTGGTGTGACTTGTAGAGTTGTATAGCTGTAAACAGCACTGATAAAACATGGTTTTGATTTTACAGTCTATTGCAGCATTATGAAGGCCATCTTTCTAACATGTGATTTTGTCATGCTGGGCAACATCTAATTCTGTATTTGCTTTTTTGCCCTTTGGCCTACTTGTTCCCCAATTGACATAGTTTACATAGATTGCAGTTCTATGCACTACTATCTGGGAATATATTCTAATGGATGCAAAGAGATCATTTCTAAATGTGATTTTGGGCATATTACTCAAAAGGATGGCCTTTGTGAAGAAGCATAACCTTCTATCATGAGTAGTAAATAAATAGGAATTGCCAACCCCTTTAATTGCTTTCCTGTGCATTTTTTTCTCTGCCTATCATAATTCTCATCTGTCTTCTTCAAGAACACAAAGTGCTGCTTTTATGATTTTGTAAGCAACCCTTGGGGTTTCTCTCCTATTACATAAACAGTGCCAAAGAGTACCTGCTAATAATTGTCTCTAAAAGAGTACACTTAATTTCCCTTCCTGTGACTTAGAGATAAAGCCTCTAGATTGGGGGAGAATGTAAGTACCTCAGACTGTAATAGCCTTTTGTAAGCACTTCATGTACAAATGGAAAGAAAAATAAAAGTGGCCAATGACAATAATAAGGCAAATAAGGAGCATTTTGGAAGCACTATAAGGGGCAGTTTCTTTTTCCTTCCAACTCAGGAAGGTAAGAGACAGGCAGTTATATAACTCTTAGATCAGATAATCTACATTTAGAGACAATATGACTTAAAATCCAAAAAAGCAACTGGACACATATCAGGCTTTCATTGGTCAATTTTTTTAGAAAATTTGATCCGTTTTTTTCACCGATTGGTTTTTTAGAAAATTATCAAATTATTACGCCTTAACACCTACTAGAAAAGTAAAGGACCAGTATTCCTTTGGGCACATAAAAAAAGTTGAATATTCTGCAGATCTTGATCAATATTTCTTAAAAAATGATTGTGTTATATTTTATGTATGTTAGAGAATATTGTCTGTGTATGTAGTATATCTTTGTCAATGAATAATGTTTTCTGTGAGTCTAATGTATTTTTAATAAATATTGTTTGAAGCCAGTGATATGGCACTCATGGCTGACCATTTATCTCATCCATTTGCAGTGTATTCTCAAGATCAGATTTCAATTGTACTGTTATAATACTTGGAGAATTATATATGATTTATGGACTTCATGGAAGATAATTTTTTGCAGTTTGGGGAGTTTTATTGACAATAGTGAAACAAAAATATATCAGAATGCCACATACATTCTATGAGCACACTAAAATTGAACAAAATTCCTTTCAGTAAGAAATCAGCCTTGGTTTTTCTCGCATGATTTTTCCTTCCACTGAGTTAGAACAAACTAGAAGTATTTTTAATGTAAAGTTTCAGATGGTTCTTATAAAACTGGTCAAGGTATGAGGCATGTCTAGTTTAAGTTAAGTAATTATAACATCGAAACCTTTATACTTATTGAAAGCATTTTCAGTTTTGCAGTGCTTAAGATCCATATACAATATCTATCTTTTAACTCCCAGATAGTATAGGTCCTTGTGTTCAGCTTGCCTATATATGAACAAGCAAAATATTATCATACTTGTATTTGCATTTGCTGCTTATTCCTCCTCTTTTATTTACTGTATTTTATTTATAGGTGTTGATTTTAAAATCAAAACAGTAGAGCTAAGAGGAAAGAAAATTAGATTACAAATCTGGTAAGTAAAAAAAAAATGCAACCTGCAGAATGTTCTTTTAAGTTTTGTGTTCTTGCATGGTTGTGGTATGCTGCCTAATATAATTAACTTTTAACTCACTTGCTGCTGAATTTTTTCTCTCACACAGCATATAGCCATAGGAACAAGCAATTTGTGAAATAGTGATCAGAAAGTAGAAATACCAATTTGAAACGGACATATATTATTTATTGAGCTGTTGTGTTCCTATCTTTAAGCCAAATCAGTTTACAATAATTAATAATTCATTAAATTATTTTTTAAGTTACTTAAAAATTATTAAATTTATATGCTTTCCAACTTCAAACTTCAGCAACTCAGATCAGTTAAATAAGGAGAATATATTTTAATGATTTCATATTGAGTAATTATCAATTGTTTTTTGGCTTTTAACAAAGCTGAGTTGTCTAACTTTCTTTTATAGAAAAACATACATTCTAAAGGAAAAATTATAGTGCAGCAATTCTAGCATCATTTTTTAATAAATATTATTTAATTGGTAGTTTATTCACAGTATTAAACTTGAATAGAGTTAGGAAAGATCCTCCCATCTATGATACTGGCATCCACGAAAAAATGAAATGAAAAAAATAGTGTTCTCTGTGGTTGCTGATTTCTAATAAGAAAAAAATAGAGTTTTAATTCCTTATGGCCAAAATATGTGTGATGATTGTCATAAGCAATTTCTACGTTATTTCATTTCTGATAAAATTTTAAACTAGAATATTACATACCGCAAAATTATTCAGTGGTGTGAAAATAGCTGTTGTGAGAGATTAATCCAGCTTTATTTAGAAAATCTGTAAACTAGCTAATGTTATTAGCCCAGTTTAATAATAGAACTTCTTGCATAATTAATAGTAGTAATAACTACTAGATATGTTAACAGCCTAGTAGGGATGAGGGGGATGCAGTGGTTGTTTGGATAATACCATGGAAACGGTTTAGTGATACTTCTCTTGCACAGATACAGTCAATTCAGTTTACTAACTCCTCTTGGCAGGTCACCATCAAGTCTATTTGTCGCACCTTGTGTTTGTCTTGCTTCCATCTGAGTTAATTGCTGTTGCATCTTTCGTATCATCCGTTACTCTAATACTTGAAAATTATTGGCATGACTTCATTCCTCATCTGTGTTCCCATCTGGAAGCCTAAGGCCACAGAATTGGTACTTGAGCCAGAATGATGGTTAGCCATGATGGTTTGTACTGAAGCTAATAATGAGGTAATGTAGATTTTTTAATGTGCCACTGTCTCTTACAATAAAGTTAACTAATTATTGTGGCTTGTTAGAGTGATATAGAAAAGTTTAGCTTTTGAAAAGCTACTGGGTGTTCAGTCCCTACTAGCACACGATAGAGACCCTTTTAGATCTGAAATTCTCCATGCATGGTATTTCTTTAAATATTCCAATACAGGTTTTTAAAAATACATTAAATTTAGGGCTTAAATAAATGGAATAGTATTTCATTGAAAATAAAGCTCATATGAGATTTCCTACACTTTAATATATAATAAAATTTGCTAATGATGTTTGCCTAGTTAGTTGTGTAATACTCAGATTACATAAAGCTTTTCCTTGAAGGTATGGAAAGAAAATCAAACCCTCTGTGTCGTTCACTCTTCTCTGTGTTCCATGTCATTCAAATCCCTCCACCCTATCCAGGGGGAAAAGGTTAAAAATTACATTAGAAACAAAGACTGAGAAGATGGAACAGATTTGAGTCAAAGATTCAAAATAGCAAAAGGTGAGCATTCCTTTCAGAATGCCAAAGATCTTAAATAATAAAAGACAGATTGCCACGACTATCTAGAATGCTAAACAAGCAAAACAAAAACCAGAATAAAAGAGGGTGCCTGACTCCAGAGTGTCCCCTTTGGGGATTCCAGTTAAACACACTTTTTAGAATTCCTAGAGGATGGGTACGTCTTTTGTGACAGTGGTGAAATCTAAAATTTGTTACTACCGGTTCTGTGGGCGTGGCTTGGTGGTGGTGGTGGTAATGTGACTGGGTGGGTGTGGCCATTTTTTTTCTTTTAAAACCATTTTTTCTACAACCTCTTCAGCAAAACTAAAAAAATGCTTTCAAAAGGCTCTGATGATCCCAGCTGAGTTGCCTGATCGGCAGAGGCTTTTTCTTTTAAAAGCCTCTGCCGATCAGGCAACTCATCTGGGATCATCAGAGGCTCTGAAGAGGTTGTAGAAAAAATGCTTTTAAAAGCCTTTGACGATCCTACCAGAGCCGCACGATCATCAGAGGCTTTTTTTTTACTTTTAAAAGCATTTTTTCAGCCGAAGAGGTTGTAGAAAAAATGCTTTTAAATTTTTTTTTTTAAAGCCTCTGATGATTGCATAGCTCAGCTGGGCATGGGGGGGGGGCAGGATTTTTGATACCTGTTCTCCGAACCACTTGCCTCCATCGCTACTGGATCGGGCAATCCGGTCCGAACCTGGAGCATTTCACCCCTGTTTTGTGAGCTTTTGAGGAACAAAGCAAGGGGCTTGTCTGGGAGGGCTCAATGTGGCCACCTGTGATCAGCAGATCTTGTACTGTGCTCTCAGAATAAATTTCTCCTCTACTTCAAACTGCCCTTGTTCTGCATTCTTTAGTCCCACCTTGGAAAGGACCATACAATTGTTTCCTTCTAACAATTGGAAGGGTTTTTTTCAATTCAGTGGAAGTGAGTAAAGCACACAAGGGTTTTTCTCATCCATTTGAGTTAATGAAAATGCACTTTAGATGAAAGACTTTCACAGTACAAATGTGATTGACACTCTATTTTAATATTTGGGCAAATTTCTCATTCAAGCTATAGGATTGTCCTTTCTCCACCATTTCCCAATTCATCTTCTAAAAACTGGGAATTTAACTCTCTATCACTGTTGCATAATTTTCTTAAGAACTGACTTCAACTGTAGAATTAAACAGAAAGAATGTTAAAGAATCTGGGCTTCAAGCTTGACCAATGTTTCTGCTTACTTTTTATTTCCTGTAAAAATAAACCTGACTAGCATTGGATGGGAAAGCATCAAGGAATTCCAGGTTGGATGTTGGAGGGAATCCAGTCTGCAGGACACCTTCGTTTCAATTATGCAGTTAAATCAGTATTGTTCATTTTAGTGTTCCTCTATTCTGTTATCTTGTGTTTAGCACAAAACAATTATTTAGTCAAAGCTAAAGTATATGATTTTAATTATGCCTTAATATTTAAGCCTCTTAAATTTTTTTGGTAAAGATAACTATACTGTTGAACAGATGAAATTAAGACAGGTTTTCAGTAAAAGCAGAACATCAAGAGATATTGATTATTACATTAGAAATGGTAGTGTTACTATCATTATGTTAGGAATGGTAGTACATACTTATCACACCTTATTTGCATTCTATTTAGAATATTTCCATAATCTAGGCAAGGTTTTTTTGAAAATAGCTGAGAAACATTAACAATGACATACAGCAGGGTTTTCACATATTGCACGTTCACCTTTTGCTAATAGTTTATATGATAAACTAATGTAGGCAGCATAAAAAGATATAACTATTAAAAGGAAAATATTTCCCTTAGAGCCATAAAACTTAAATATTTGGCTCCTTAAATAATTGTTTTGTTCTTAACCATAGGTTTAACAATATTTTTACCCTGGCATCTTCCCTATTGACATTTGCTCCCTAAGGATTGTGGTGCCAAAAGAAATATTGTTATTGGGAACAAACTTTTAAAATCATGTCTTCCCAGATTCTTTATTGGCTGTGCTATCGTGAATAGATAAATCAAATGTTGTTTTGGATAGTTATATTTTAAAGCAATTTCATTTGATCAAAACTTCTGGCCACAGTGATTGCAAAAGATTCAGATCACAATGTGTTCAGGGCATTCTTCTGGGAATAGTGTGTTATCTAATTTACCTTCCCCCTCCAGCTCTTTGTGCCCATTGTAAAAGAGTTTGGATCTCTGAGTTAGCTTGCCTTGGTACCTGAAAGAAGAAAAGCAATTCTGAGAACATTACTGTTCATTTACTTTCTCCACTAGCAGGAAATCTTCTTTGGCTTCTGATTTCCCCTGCAGATCCCACACTTCTTTTAGCCATTTGGCTTCATGGACTTCATATGCTTTTTACCGTACAATAATTAAATATGCTATAGGCCATCCCCAATTTGATAGCATTATTTTGCTCAAATTAAATAGAAATGGGAGTGTCTTGGCAGCAGTGAGTAGAAAACTGGCTGTGAAAAAGTGCCACCAAATACCAAATGTAGTTGTTACTGTTAAGGCTGAAGAACAAATTGGAATCTTTCTTGGGCAGCCTATCTTTTTGGTATCCAAAAAGACTAAATGGATAGCGTGAATATAATTGCAAAAATTCAGTGGCATGAAAATGATTTCCTTATTCTGTACTATTGAATAGAAGTTATATTTGACCTATGGATTCAATAGATTTATATCTGCCCTTAGAATCTTCTAGGATTTGTAAATGGAGAACTCAGGGAATGCATACATGTTTTGCAATGTATATATCTGAGGTTTAGCATTGTGTTCTGTGGGATTTTCTATATAGTATTGCTGTTTTTGTCCTTTGGTACTATTAAGTCTTCAGTATATGTATACTAAAGTGTTTATGGCTTGTCCCCCCATTGTAGCTATTTTGTCTCTCTGCAAACATTTATCCTGTTGATTGGAAGAACCTTCAAACCAAGCTTGTTAAAAAAAGAGATATTTTTTGGGGGGGAGGAAATAATCTTGCTGTGCATACAGAAACATTTTTGTATGTGTATTGAGTTTAATGAATCTCAGTCAGAATGTCTACATATGTATTGAACTGTCATATGGGGGCTACCCATTGCTAGGGGCTACCAAGAGTCATGAGAGGAGTGTTGATAACAAGATGGGTGGGGCCATATATGGGAGTGGGCCTGGATTTGAGGAAAATAAGTTCTTTATGCCTATTTTAGAACGTACTTCATGGTTCATGGTTTTTGTCTATTTTTCCCAGCTCAGTTTTCAGAACTCATGCTTTGAGGTCCCAGAAAAGGGTTTTGAGGAAACACTGCAGTTCAGAGTTATGTAACGTGTCCATTTCTGACTGAAAGAAATGTTTAAGCCTCCTTTGCCCCTCCCCCATGTTTCCAGGCCGGTAAAATTGATTTCCTTGAATAGCTGTTTTAATGTTAATATCAAGAATAATTTCTCCTTGAGAAGTTCAATAGTTTCAGAGAATTAATGCCTTCCTATAAACTTCAGGCCTTCAACCATTTGTATGTTTTCTGTAAATGTCTGACACCATTTACTGCATTGTTAAACCACCAAGAATGTGGTTTGGCATATTTTGTATTCTGTCTTGGATAAGAAAATGCAATCTTAAAAGAATTTACCTTGAAGATATTCCTGATGCTGAAGCTGTGTAAATGCTGAAGCTATGTAAATCCTTTCCTAGTCATATCAAGCCAAAAGCTCTTCACAATATGCCAAATCAACCTTCTGACATCTAGAAAATGTAGATAAAAGGCAGCTTCTCTCTCCTGCATACCAAAATGCCCTATACTGCCTCTTTGCTTGTCAAGTATGTACCATGTTTCCCTGAAAATAAGACCCTGTCTTATATTTTTTTGAACCCTGAAATAAGCACTTGGCCTTATTGCCATGTACTCAAAAGCCCGATTGGGCTTATCAGGGGATGTCTTATTTTGGGGGAAACAGGGTAGAGTCATACTCTTTTCTCTATATGACAAAAATGAAAATTGTAATGTGTGTTATAAAAAGGTGCTAATAAGGTAGTATTTGCTTTTTCTGGTCAGGAACTTGGAAAAAAGTACCAGAATTGCAAGCTCTCCTCATAAAACAAAAATATATGTTGATAAATGAGAATGCCACTTGAAAGACTAGTATTATAAAAAATGATCTAACTTTCCACGTTCAGGAAAAACAGATTCATAAAGGCATAGGTTTTTGTATAGATAATATTTAATATTTAATTATTCCAATATTCATAAACTATGCACCTAAAACTATTAAATGCCCGGTCTGAAAGGTACTTATGGTACATTGATATTTGAGTTTATTAATGTAAAGTATATATGGATGTAATATGGGTGTGTTTATTTATAGGAAATGCTTATGCTTTGTTTAAGGCAACTGATTGTCTGGAACAAGATTAGAACTTCCTTTCTTTAAGAACTCAAAAGTATTCAGATTAAAGTATGCATATTTTATGTAAGGAATTTTACAAAAATGTACAGCTTACAGGGTAATTTCAACTTTATTTTATCTATTTATTCAGTTTATATCTCTCTCTCACACACACACACCCATGATACCTAAGTGACTCTAGGATGCTTACATAATGGGAAAAAAACCCAGTTAGGAATAAAAAGAAAATAAAGGACATTTATTCACAGTTGCGCCATCTGGAACCATTTAGAGTGACAGTGTTGTTATAGTAAAGTTAGCAATTATAGCATTGTTGGCAAAGAAAACTAAAAGAATAACCTTAATAAGTATTCATCTCTTCCCAGAAAACCTAAAACAGTATGACAAAGTGAAAGGAAATTAATAGTTATTCTAATTCAAGCAGGATTGCAGTTCTAAAAACAAACTCTTTTATGAACCTTAACATACAACGCATTTGAATCTTTCATTGGAACCAGGAGGATTTAATTATGAGAAAATGTGTTTGTTTTGAGTTAAGTGATTTGACTATGAAGGAACATGAAACATATGATCAAGGCCAATCTCTTGCCATCAGTACTGCCCATGAGCAAATGGAGCAGGTCTGGATACTTCTGTGCCTTGTACTATCGGACGAAGCCATAAAGTGATAACCATATCTGACTAAAACCCTGAGATTATGTAACTCCATGTCTCATTTCTTTGAACTTTCACTTGGCTTATGCTCTTTGTGTTGTTGTTTTTCAACATACCACAATATATGTCTAGCCATAATTGCTGAGATTCTAAAGTAGAAGCTAGGCCACTAATAACAAGATTTATGGTCATCATATTGCATGCTTGAATCCACAGTCACATAGTTGTCTTGTATGAATTTACCACTGCAATCACTCACTGAATACATACATAGAAACAAGATAGCTTCTGCATGCACATTTCTTTCCAAGAAGTTATTTTCTTTGGGGGAGGTTTCTTTTTTTTTTTTTTTTTTTTTTTAGCCCTTGCCTGTTTGGTAGGAAAAATGCAGACTTTAAGATATAAAGTTTATTTATTGTAGAAAATTGAGATGATGTGTAACATGATAAAATATTTGTATCCACATTTGCTGCTGCTTCCTAGGGACACAGCAGGTCAAGAAAGATTCAACAGCATTACCTCAGCTTATTACAGAAGTGCCAAGGGAATAATATTGGTATATGACATCACAAAGAAGGAGACATTTGATGATTTGCCAAAATGGATGAAAATGATTGATAAGGTAAGCTTCAGTTTCCCAAAATGAACAGGGTTAATTTTGGTCCTTAAAATAGGTTTAATGTCAGTGCTAAATGTGGCAGTACAGTTCTGAAGAGTTCTCCTATTGCAATGTGGCCATTATCTAGATCTTTTGAGTGTTAAGTATGAATTCTCTACAGTATTGCATAATAGGATGTTTCCACATTGTTAATCATTAAAATTGAATGCCTTATACAAAATTAAATTTCACAAATGAGTTATATGACCTTTTAAAAATAGGAAATATTTATGATTTTTACATTTCATTGATTGATATTTAAGTATTAAGTAGTAGCAAGGTATTGAAGGCTGACATCTAAACATAAAACAAACAAAAAAAATAGCACTAAATTTGGCAGCTTTTTATGTAGTCATAGTCGTAAGTATTGAGACAAAGCCTTCCCTATCTAATATTATTTGGTATATTATTTTTCTATCAGTTTTTCAATTATTTTATAGTTACATAATAATAGTAAATTTATATTAGGAACAATATGCATCAAAAAGCCACCAGAAAAGCATAATCTTTCATGATACTATGTTCACAGATCAACAATGTGATTTATGAAGAACATACTGGTCTAATATTTTCACACTCTTTTATGTGAAAACTAGACCCTTATCTGGAAGCAGTCCATTGCATAACTTTGTGGGGTGGTTTCCTTTTTTCTTTCCAGTATGCCTCAGAAGATGCAGAGCTACTATTGGTTGGAAATAAGTTGGACTGTGAAGTGGACAGAGAAATTAGTCGACAACAAGGAGAAAAAGTAGGTGAAAATAAAAGTCAACATTCATTCTTATGGAAATGTGAAGTTCACAGAAGCTTAACACTGAATATATTTGTAATATCAAATCTATTTCCATTTGTTTGCCGTTAAGTGTTTTTTACGGCTAAGGTCTTACAAGTGATATACAGAATAAACCAATAATGTGATCACTAAGGATTTCTGATTAATTTACATCAGGAATCTATATCTCTTATGTCAGTTTCCAAATCTTGATATGTAAAAAATAGTATCATTTTTTCAGAGGAATTCTGACATTGAGGAATTTGCAAAGAAATAAAGATTTGCTAGAACTAAAAATCACCATAATGACAGTAAAAATAAAATTTTGAAAGACTAGATCTGCATATTTTCAATGTTAACTATTTTTTAAAAAAATGATTTTCAAAATATCTATAGTTAAAATTACCTAACATTATTGTAATATACAGTAAGTTTTAGCATTATTTTTTCAATTCAATGAAAGGTGATTTGATTTTTGAGACTGAATTGACACAGTAATATAAACCTTTATTTTTTCCCCCTAATAGTTTGCTCAGCAGATAACCGGGATGCGTTTTTGTGAAGCTAGTGCCAAGGATAATTTTAATGTGGATGAAATATTTTTAAAACTAGTTGATGACATTTTAAAAAAGGTAAATGATCTTTGTATTGTAAGAAGTTAACTTCCTATGATATTTAATATAAGTAAACCCTAGAGTTTACTTAGGGTATTTAGTCAGAGATAATTGTATATAAGATTGCGGTCTTAATATGTTGACTGTTTAAAATATGAAACAATTTATGAAACAATTTTAGAATTATTTCTGCTTGCTTCAGTTGGCAGAAATAAAAATGTTTCCTAGGATAATTAATGTGGTTGAATGTTAATGTATATAAGGAATAGGAAATTTTATGCATTCTCCTTTAATATTACTTAAGAAATTAACGTAATCTAAATTTAAGGTACAAATGGAGACTAGATTGTGAAAGCAATACTATGCATGCATTCTAGATTAGGTGTCTCATACTTGCAGCTTAGGTACTACATAAGGCTCTTCAAGTCATTTTATGTCTTCAGAATCTGATGTTCTGAAAAATGAGAAATGCTGTCAGATAGTGGCCCCAAGTGACATGATTAAGAAAATGAGCCTGTTGCACAGTAAAAATTGTTTTTCTATTTAATTAATCTGGCTTCCCCATTGACTGCTTGTCGGAAGGTTACAAAAGGTGATCACATGACCCCGGGACATTGCAACCATCATAAATACATGCCAGTTTCCAAGTGTCTGAATTTTGATCATGTGACCATGGGGATGCTACAACGGTCATAAGTGTGAAAAACGGTCATGTGTCACTTTTTTCTCTGCTGTTGTCACTAAATGAACTGTTGTAAATTGAGGACTACCTGTACTTATAGATGTAAGTATATCGGCTTCAGTAAAATTCTGTGTAAGATGCTGCTGACGTGTGTTTTTGGTGTTCATTTAAGATGCCCTTGGATGTAATAAGAAATGAATTGTCCAACAGCATCCTGTCCCTACAGCCAGAACCAGAGATTCCACCAGAACTGCCTCCTCCAAGACCTCATGTCCGTTGTTGCTGACTTGCTATTGCTTACCCCAGAGTGGAAAAGATGACAAGCAAAAAGAAAGGGGGAAAGCTGTTTCATTCTGTACTACAATCATATGGCAGTTGTTTGTTGCACTTTGATTCAGAGTCAGAACTACACACTAATTTGTAAATATGCAGATATGCAAACTAGATAGGATAAGGCTGTAACTGTTTAAATATTGCTCTTTCCACACCTTTTTTTCACTTCTCTTTTCTCAGCCCTATAAATATTGTACAATTTGGTGGGAAACCGAGGATGTAAGAAATTAAATGCATACTTAATTATTCTCAACATAAATGTTGTAATAGTCCTCAATATAAACAGAATCTCTTAGTATATGGTGCTTTGATAGCTTTTTAAAAGAAAATATTTTAAATTTCAACTCGACATATGTAAAGCTTTCTAAAGCAGCATTATCCCTTATAAATTCAAATAAATTGCTGGTAAAACACTTATGTGTATAATAATTCAGAAGTAAATTCTTGGTCACTGGGCTCCTGGGTTTATTCTAGGGTAGGGATCGATAGGTTTGAGTGCAGTCCATCAAGTATCATAGTAGACCTCAAATCATTTCAACAGGTGATTTCAGGCAGGTACTACAGAAGTGAAGAGGGGTGGTAGAGCAGAAGGATTGAGTTCTGAACACACAGGCAATTAGTGTCAGCAATGTTTCTTTATTTATTAACTTTCACCCTAGATCATTTGTATGTGTGAACCAAGGAACTGTGTTCTGTGTGGTTTTTAAAGGATGAATTGGCACCTTGACCTAATTAGTGTCCTCAAACATAAATTAATGAGCAGTCAGATACTGTATAAAACAGAGAAATATTTGCAAATTATTTTTAAAAAAAGGTTTAAGAGTTACTTCTTCTGTCATAGATAAATTTGTTTAAAGTTATTTTTAAACTTTCCTATGTTATAAGGAATAATGTATGTTTATTTGTCTTATATATAATTAACTTATATATAAGTTTATTCCCATCAAAAATTCTAAGCTAAAGAGGAATTGGATTTTTTTGTTTTTATTTTGGTCATAATGAATTTGTGAACTGTATCTTTTTGGTATATCTTTATTAAATCTGCACTGTATACCTTAGTTGTGGTAAACCAGTAGTTTTGTATTTGAATAACTTGATAAGTCTTTAATGTTGTGGTATTGAAAAGCATTGTCGTTCTATACTAATGACGTGCCAATAAACTTTTGTATTTATGAATGACAGTAGAATTGCATCTCTTACTGGAATGCCAAATCTCAAATACTGTCCTCCTGAAGATCCAATTTTGAGAGAAATTGATAAAATTATCTCTATAGTTGGTTAAACCTGTATATGTGGATGTATTGACTTGCAACAAATCTTACGCATGCTTTCTCAGTTGTGAATTCCATTGAATTCAATGCAATTCAATCCATTATCAGTGTTTAGGACTAAAACCCTAATCAAGCTGCTATCCTGCAGCATTTGTTACAGTACTTTAAGATACCGTAGCAAGAGTAATGATGTTTTATCAATGCATGGACTTCAGTTGTATGTACTAAGCAATTAGTCTGAATTCTGACTTTTCTGAAATTTTTTCTTCAGATTTCTGAGACATAAAAAAGCTACAGTTTAAGTATACAAAATTGTTTTTATTGAACTCAGTACACCTCATTTAAGTCATTTAGGTCCAAATAAAAAATGCACAATTGAAATGTATTTCTTCTACCACAATGTGCCTATACAAGTGTCATTCTTCATACAGATACTTTAAGGCTTTTTACCATGATGATTAGATGAAGTTTGCCATTTTTGTACCACTGTAAACTTGTATTATAGGTGATAACAATGAAAACAGACTTATGGACAATACATTTAAACTTGATAAACATTTAGGTGATTTTTCCCTGTATTTAAAATGTGTTGTTTGCTTTCAATTCTTGAATAAAAGTATAAGAAAACAAATATATATATACATGTTTATATCTTACTGGCACTGTTTCTTCTAATATAGTCCATGGAAGAATTTATATATTTTTGATGCCTAGCAGGCTTTCAGGTGATGACTAAATATCCATATCTAATAAGACTTTAAAAGGCCTTGGCTTAAAACCTGTAGTAACAGAGAAAGCCCATTAGGGGTCACTGCTTCACTTTATATAAAATATTTTGCTTATTTCGTATTGCACATTTCTTAACAAATTCTTTGAACTGCAGTTTTCTCCTTTACTACAGTTTTAATACAAAAACAGAATCGTTTCCCTCAAATAAATCCAAAAGGGCAAGCTTGCACCTCCAGACAAGGGCATTAGGGTAAACATATTAGAGAAATTCCATTAATGTGGTCTACTTGGGAACAAAAAGTGAATGATGATCCAAGCTAAGGTTTAAGGTCTAGGGCCCTTTTCAACAGTAGTTCTGGAAAATTAGAAAATCTATCATTGATTAGGATGTAAATAAGAAATCAATACATAATTGAAAAACCATTAAAGTGCACTTGCTGAATGTATGAAATTTCCACAATCTATCCCACCTTGTTTGAAGATTCCCAGTGATGGGAATTGCCACTTCTGGACCCAACAAGTCTACTGCCCAATTACTCTTAATGACAGGATTTTATTTTAACATTGTCAGAATCTACGTTCTTGTAATTTAAGATGATGATTGATTCCATATTGATTCCATGATTCCATATTTGTATTCTGTTAATGGAAAATACAGTAAGTTGTGGCCTTCTATGTGGCACCTTTTTAGAAGAATGCTATATCATCCCAATTTGGTAACTCTTCTCAATGCAAACATACATATTGTGTTTTTCTCCAAAGAACTTAGTCTGTGGCGGTTTGATTTTCTTTAATGCCTTCTTTAGAACTAGGTGTGTCTCACTATGCTATTCACCTCAGTAGCTCTGAGAATTTCATGTATTTTACTTTCATCAGAGGTGGTATTTGCTATAAAATGACAGGAAAGTTATTCCTGGGAGAAATTCCTAAGTAACACATAAGTCTCTGAAAGGAAACAGAATGCTGCTTTGGTCCAGAATTGTATAGCTGCCAATACAATTCACTAGATTTCTTAACTACTACCACCATTTAATCTCTTTATTCATAGAGGTTTTAAGTTCATGTCAGTTATTTGCTTCTGGTCTGTCTGCTCGATTGCTTTCTTAAATCACGAAATTGTGAGTTTTAATTCTGCCTTAGACAGGAAAAGCCAGCTGGGTGACTGGGCCAATCATTCTTAGCCCAACTCACAAAGTTGCAGTTGTGGAGAAAATAGGAAGATGTTTGTCATTTTGAATTATTTACAAAAATAACAAAGACGGGATTTAAAAAGTCGTTTTTAAAAATAATTACTTTTTTCTAAAATTTAGTGTAGAATTTTACAATTGGCATCAAAACATTGAAAACCAGCTGTGTTATAGAGTAACACTGAGGAGGCATTCTGATGTTCTGCAGTTATTTTTAACTATAATTTCCACAGTCTCTATTAGTCATGCTGGTTGGGTCTGACGGAATTTACCAATTTTGAGATTACTAGGTTTCCTCCTTTGCTCTAATCTAAACTCATAATCTAAAGCAGTCACACACAGGATGCATTCCATTTGGTAGCTAAAGTATATATCATGTATCATGTTTAAGAGTTACTGATCCCGGCCATGCAAAAAACCTTTTTAAGGTACCTTAGATCATAGTAATATATAGAAAATCAGTTGACTAAAATGGATCCTCCAAGTCTGTTTAAATGCATGTTTGTGTCACAGCTGTGTAATGTTTCTAAACACATTTCAGGTGGATAATACATTTCATAAAAACAAACCAATGGCATTAGTGTTTTTAAAGGAGGTTGGAATACCTTACTAGATACAACAGAGAGCTTTCTCATGAGAACTAAGGTCATCTCCACGGGTAACGGATAAGGTTAGGGAAGGAGTGCCTGGAGAGCCCGCCAATTGACCTAATTGACCAAAAGTTGTGACCCTTGGGGATGGGTTTATTTCCTATTTTAATTTTACTGAAACAGTGGAAAATATTTAGAATTGGTTTTCCTTTAATCCTTGCCAATATGATGTACTCAATAAAGAAGATCATTTAGAAACAGTTGTGATTGCTTGGCTTCATTAGTCATAACCTTGACACTAGGATTGTGGCAGCAGGTACAGCTTGCACTAATAAAGAAGTGTCATTTGAAAAGAAAGTAGGAGGAGATAGGAGGAGATCTATTTGATACATGCATAAATTTGGAACAGGCAAAACGAGGTTGTGGGGGGAAGAATGCCCAGAGAAATCCTGAAATAGGACAATGGGTAACACTTTAGCAATTATAATCAATAGCTCTGCCAGAAACCTGTTTTCAAAAAATGAACCATATCATTTAAGCCAGTCTGATATATTTCAGCATGGTCAGCCATCTCTGAAATGGGCTTCTATTTTTGGAAGATAAAGTAGATAACATTTCTAGAATATTTGATGAAGAAAAACCTTTAAAAGCAGCATGTCCTTAGCTTCAGTTTTCTTGCTGTCAAAATGTATTAATGCCACAGTTTTATCTGTACCTAGAGTTAAGCAGGATGTAACAAATTCTTTATTACATTAAAGATTCCTGTGTAATAAAACACAGACTCTGACTGGGTAGATCAGGGAAGAGTGACGAGGAATAGTCTTGAGAATGTTATCTGGGAGGAGTTTGATGCTGTGACTCCCGATGATGTGGACAGGATTTTGGGGAGACTTAGTGCGGCCACATGTTTACTGGACCCGTGTCCCTCCTGGTTGGTACTGGCCTCCCGGGAGGTTACACAAGGCTGGCTCCAGGGTGTTATCAACGCTTCATTGAGTGAGGGTCACTTCCCCACGGCCTTGAAAGAGGCGGTGGTGAGGCCTCTCCTCAAGAAGCCGTCCCTGGATCCGGCAATATTGGCTGACTATCGTCCTGTCTCCAACCTTCGCTTTCTGGCGAAGGTTGTTGAGAGTGTGGTCGCGCGACAGTTTCCGCAATTCCTGGAGGAAACATCCTATCTGGATCCGTTCCAGTCTGGTTTCAGGCCTGGGCACAGCACGGAAACGGCATTGGTCGCGTTGGTTGATGATCTCTGGAGGGCTCGGGACAGGGGTTGCTCCTCTGTTCTGGTCCTGTTAGACCTCTCAGCGGCTTTTGATACCATCGACCATGGTATCATGCTGCACCGGTTGGAAGAGTTGGGGATGGGGGGCACCGTGTTACGGTGGTTCTCCTCCTTTCTCTCCGACCGGTCGCAGTTCGTGTTGGCAGGGGGGCAGAGGTCGACCTCGAGGCCTCTTATATGTGGAGTGCCTCAGGGGTCGGTCCTCTCGCCCCTCCTGTTCAACATTTATGTGAAGCCGCTGGGCGAGATCATCCGTGGCTTTGGGGTGAGATACCATCAGTACGCTGATGATACTCAGCTGTACATCTCCGCCCAGGCCACCCCAATGATGCCCTTGAAGTGATGTCCCAGTGCCTGGAGGCTGTACGGATCTGGATGGGGAGGAACAGGCTCAAGCTCAACCCTTCCAAGACTGAGTGGCTGTGGTTCCCGGCATCCCGATATAGTCAGTTGACTCCATCACTGACTATTGGGGGCGAGTCTTTGGCCCCCACAGAGAGGGCTCGCAATCTGGGAGTCCTCCTGGATACGCAGCTGTCCTTGGAGGAACATCTGACGGCTGTAACCAGGGGGGCCTTTTGTCAGGTTCGCCTGATCCGCCAGTTGCGGCCCTTTCTTGATCGGGATTCCCTGTGCACAGTCACTCATGCCCTCGTGACCTCTCGCCTTGATTACTGTAACGCTCTCTACATGGGGCTCCCCTTGAAGAGCACCCGGAGGCTCCAACTGGTCCAGAACGCAGCAGCGCGGGTAGTGACGGGAGCAGCATGGCGCTCCCATGTAACACCACTCCTGCGCGAGCTGCACTGGCTCCCAGTGGTCTTCCGGGTGCGCTTCAAGGTGTTGGTTATCACCTTTAAAGCGCTCCATGGCATAGGGCCTAGCTATCTCCGAGACCGCCTGCTGCCACCGACGACCTCCCATCGACCCGTGCGCTCCCACAGAGAGGGCCTCCTCGGGGTGCCATCAGCCAAACAATGCAGGCTGGTGACCCCCAGGGGGAGGGCCTTCTCTGTGGGGGCTCCCACCCTCTGGAATCAGTTGCCCCCTGAGATAAGGAGAATCCATGACCTCAGTGCCTTCCGCCGTGCCCTTAAAACCTTCCTTTTCCAACAAGCCGGGCTGGCCTAATTCTTTTTAAGTGTTTTTAATTGTTTTGTTTATTGTTTTAATTAATGGGGCCAAATTTATATATATATATTAATATTTGTATTTGATGTTTTTATTTGGCTGTTCACCGCCCTGAGTCCTCAGGGAGAAGGGCGGTATACAAATTCAAAAATAAATAAATAAATAAATAAATAAATAAATAAATAAATAAATAAATAAATAAAACGGAACCTGTCTATTTGATTTTTTTATCTATCTGTCTGTCTAGGTTTTATTTTGGGGGGATCCTCAGTTTTTCCCTTCCATGGTAAATATTTAATCTGGCTAATAATGCGTAATACGGGAAATAAGAACTTCTGTGGCTGCTTGTGGCCAGATACCACATGGCACATCGTGCCAGTGCTGCTGCTAATGGCAGGATGCAGCATGGCTCATCGCACCATTGCCACTACTCACAGCAGGAAGCCACAAGGTGTGTTGTGCTGGTGCCGCCACTCATGGCAGGAGGCTGTGTGGTGTGTTGCGACATTGCATGTGCAAGCAGTAACACTGGTGCGATGTGCTACCTGGTGTCCTGCCATGAACAGTGGCACTGGTAAAATGCACCATGTGGTGTCTGGCCACGAGCAGACAGAAGCGGCCACAGAAGAAGTCAGGCAGTGGCATGACAGGTGCCGAGGCATGGGAGGCCTGGCTGTGGCGGTCCTAAGGTAAGCATATATGGGGCGCA